CTTTGGGAGGCCGAGGCTAGGGGATTACCTGAGCCCGTGGGTTCGAGACCAGCCTGGGCAACTTGGTGAGACCTCGTCTCTACAATAAAATTCAAAAAAATTAGCCGGGCATGGTGGCATGAGTCTGTAGTTCCGGCTACTTGGAAGGCTGAAGCCGAAGGATCGCCTGAGCCCAGCAGATAGAGGTTGTGGTGGCCGTGAGCCAGCCTGGCTCCAGCCTGGGTGACAGAGTGAGACTCTGACTCAAAAAAAAGAAAGATGTGAACCATGGAAGGCTGAGGCGAAAGGATCTCCCAAGTCCAGCAGGTGGAGGCTGCGGAGGCTGTGAGCATGCTGCTGCACTTCAGCCTGGGCGACAAGAGTGAGACTCCAACTCAAAAAAAAAATGTGAACTGGAGACATGATACTTAGCAGCATGTGGAGGTCATACTGTGTTGGGGGACGAATTAGACCATGTAGGGCGCCAGGCGCAGTGGTTCATGCCTGTAATCCCAGCACTTTGGGAGGCAGAGGTGAGAGGATTGGCTGAGTCCAGGAGCTCGAGACCAGTCTCACTCTGACTTCTACTCAAAAAAACAAAACAAAAAAAAGATCACCCAAGGAAGGTGTGTGGCGTACACAGGGCGCAGGATCCAGATAGGCTTCTGTGATTTAAGGAGAAGGTCATCCCTCACACCATAGAGGAGGAGTTGCTAGAAGGGCAAGAGGGACACCAGCGGAGTGTAGGAGAGAAAGGTCAGCTGTGTTGTCTGCTGCTGAGATGGCAAGCAACTGAGGACTGCAAAGTATTCACACAAGGTTGGGGTGACCCTGATTTGGAGTGACCTTGGAAAGGTGGGGGAAATGACCTTGGAAATGAGAGGAAATGGAGACCCCCGTGTGTAGGCAACTGACCGTAATAAGTAGGGAGAGAGAGACAGAGATGTGGGGTGGTACGTGGAGAGTTCAGTAAGGTTTGTTTGTCTAAAGATGGGAGAGACTAGGAAATGTTTAAAAGTGAGTGGGGGCTGGGGCGCCGTGGCTCAAGGCTGTAATCCCACGCTTTGGGAGGCTGAGATGAGTGGATTGCCTGAGCCTGCGGGTTCAAGACCCGCCTGGGCAACTTGGCGAGACCTCATCTCTACAATAAATCAAAAATGAGCCGAGTGTGGTAGTGCACGCCTGTAGTTCCAGCTACTCGGAAGGCTGAGGCGGAAGGATCACCAGAGCCCAGCGAGTCGAGGCTGCGGTGGCCAGGAGCGACCACTGCACTACAGTCTGGGCGATGGAGTGAGACTCTAACCCAAAAAAAACCCCAACAAAACAGCCGGGCTCGGTGGCTTAGCCTGTAATCCCGCGCCTTTGGGAGGCTGAGGTGAGCGGATTGACTGAGCCCGCGGGTTCGAGACCTGCCTGGGCAGCAAGACCTCATCTCTACAGTAAATCAAAAACTCAGCCGGGCGTGGTAGCGCATGCCTGTAATTCCGGCTACTCAGAAGGCTGAGGCGGAAGGATCGCCGGAGCCCAGCAGGTCGAGGAA